AAATTGTTCATTACCTTTGAGCTACAGTGGCTATACGTTTGCCTATTGACTAAGGTTTTGGTTTGAGTCGGCACCAAACCGATTATAATTAGCCTTGGCTTCAGGTTTGACCCAGTCATGAAATGTCTAGGGAAATACAGGCAGCCAGCCAGCGTGACATTGATTTCATCACCATCAGGTGCTGATTGGTCTATACAAATGTAAGCAACATCATAAGCCCGGCAGCCACTTGGGTGAAAAGGGTCTTTTGTTTTATGACATCGGGGGGAGAGGGGTAGAAGCAAAAAACACTCATCCGCATTGTACAATAGCTTTATTACCCAGGTTGACTTAATTTCCCCTTTGCTAATGTTACTCTGTTCTGGTCCCATCTTGTTTAGAGTCAAAGAAATATAAAATAATCTAGATTTTCAGCCGTGTCTACTTAACTTTTAGTCTGTGTGTGAAAGAGAGAGGTTATGAGAGTGTGAAAGAGTGCCAGTATGTGTGAGAGAGATGGAGTATGTATATATGTGTGTGTGTGACAGAGAAAGAAAGAGACTGACTGACTGATTCTAATTATAAGAGAAAATGACCTTCAGGTTCAATGAACTGACCTCTTTGTGTCCAGTGCCTGTACAAGGGTCAGAAATCTGTTCTTTCTCCAATAAAAACATGAACATCTTCGACTGACTGAATGAGGTAAATAGTCACAAAATGAACACACTTTTTTCTTAGCTTTAGTGCAGTTATTCTATTTGATCTTTATTTCTCAACATACAAGATTCTGGTTAAAATGTACAAATGAAACATCTTTCCATTAAAATTAAATAAAGTCACTCTATGTCCATTTCCGTGGACATTTTGGTTTAACACACACTGTCACTGAAAGGTGATGAACTTATTTCACAGATGACCTTGGCTTCAAGGTCAAGCCAGCCTTAAATTGTTACCAGGTAAAATCCTCTGTAGTAAAGGCAATGTTGATAACATCACACATCAAGTGACAGTTGGAGATGTTGACCACATCACACATCAAGTGACAGTTGGTCTATAAAACATAGATCTGGCCCTGTATGCCCAATACGCCTGCGTATCTTATAAGAATTATTCTTTGGCAAAATTGATGCTGCACCTGTCACATCTGGATAGTTGCTAGAACTAATGATGACAAATCATAACAGATAAGACATCTAGGAAGAGCTGCAAGAGTAATGAAAGACAAAACTTCAAATGCAGAAACCACAAGACAATCAGCACCAACACCAGTTATATCATTTGTTAACTCTTTCATTCCTAAGACATGCACCAAACATTCACAGGTTCCTACTCAGAAGTCTAATGAACATGCCTTGTGCCGATGTGTCTTATCTTTTTAATTTACCACTGGGCAGCTTACAAGAAAAAACGAATTTATACTTCATTTATCTTTCTATTATCCTTGCATTAGTGTTTGAAGAACAGTCTCAAGAAAATGAAGAACTTGTACAACAATGCACTGGAACAGAAAATCTCTGAATATCTCTCGGATGGAGTCCGTAAGAGACTAGAGGTTTTAACAACGGATCAACATCATGGCACATGAGTAGTAACCTGTAAGTGCTGTTTTACTCCAGCCTGAGTCTGAAGAATCTCAGCGCAGTGCACACATTCTGTAGCACCCGCGAGGATCCTGGAATATTTTGGGTACATTTTTAAACTCAAAATGTTGCTAGGGCAGCGCCATTAGGCTAGTCTTTTGAATTTCTAACTGCCAAGGGATTTTTTTTATGTGCGCAACAATTCACACCAGCTTCCGATCTTGCCACCCAGAGACCAGGGGAAATTACTATAAGTCAGTGTGAAAAGATTACAGCCTGAACTAGGGACTTTTAGCACTCGGGGCGGACACTGTGCCTCGAGACCACTGCTGGTTGTTTGAACCCTGACAAAGGTTTGTACTACTGGAGTCAGGTGACATAGAAAGTTTCCTACCACACCATTATAATGGTATTATAAGGGGAAGGTGTTGCAAAGTATACACTCCCTTCCCCACGCTGAAAAACCAGCAGTGTGTGTTTAGTCAAGTGAGTGGAGAGGTTTACAGGATGTCAGTATGGCAATGACTGCTGGAGCTGCTGCTTCTGAAACTTTTTAATCCTTGTTTTAAAATTGTGTGAAACTAAACAAACATAAAAATAAAATGTATTAATATATATTATACACAATAAAATCCTAAAGTAAGAAGAAAAAAAAAACACAAAACATATATTCAATTACTAGTGGCCTAAACTGTTATAGTTCAAGTTTGATCCATTCATTTTAAAACAAAATTCGTCAACATTGTGTCTGTGACAGTGTCCCCTGACTGTATGTTCAGTTAGAAGTTTTGTTTCCCTTAGGCACGCTTGCTTGGGTACAACAGCCAAACACTGTGCCACTGGAACTGTGAAACTTTATCCTGTACAATAATTTTATAATATTTTTCATGAATTAGGGGATGCCTGGTGATATTAGGCTTAAAGATTATATAGCGTACAAGTAAAAAGAGAAAAAAAAAAACTCGTTATATTAAGTGTTACTGATAATATCGAGCAAAAATAGGGGATCTGCCATGCCTATTTATGAGCAGCCCGACCAGGTCATGTTCCCGCTCATAGTCTACAGGTGATGGAGGCCAGGCCTGCACTTGTCACAGTCCAGCACAGACTCTACAGGTGATGGGCACCAGGCCTGCACTTGTCACAGTCCAGCACAGACTCTACAGGTGATGGGCACCAGGCCTGCACTTGTCACAGTCCAGCAGACTCTACAGGTGATGGAGACCAGTCCTGCACTTGTCACAGTCCAGCACAGACTCTACAGGTGATGGAGACCAGTCCTGCACTTGTCACAGTCCAGCACAGACTCTACAGGTGATGGGGACCAGGTCTGCACTTGTCACAGTCCAGCACAGACTCTACAGGTGATGGGGGCCAGTCCTGCACTTGTCACAGTCCAGCACAGACTCTACAGGTGATGGAGGCCAGGCCTCCACTTGTCACAGTCCAGCACAGAATCTACAGGTGGAGACCAGGCCTGCACTTGTCATGTTACCTACGCAGGTCTCAGGTGTATCATTGTCAGCAGAGCAATACAAAGTCTGCCTTAGAATTAAACACATACCTCAAGCTGTCTGAAGTAGGCAGTCTAACTCCTCGAGCAAATGATGTGCAAAGGACACTTCAACAATTGGCCGCTGCATTGGAGAAGTGAGCGTGTTGGGGAATGTACAGTGACATCGATTGTGACAGCTCTGCAGCGTCTCCAGTTCGCCACTTTAACAATGACAAGATAACATCCAAGACCCACATCAGTCAGCAATAAGCACCCCAGCATTCACACAGCTCAAACTCCAACCATGAAAATATTTGTGTTCAGGCTGTTGTGTTTTTTTGCTGATGAAAGCTTTCTGTCACTGCAGTGTCTACTAATTTGTGACCATTTCTTCTTAAGCTGATATTTAACTACTGTACCTCCCCGTCTTTCCCCGGACATCTCAGATATGGCAGGTTTCTTAACAGCAGAATGATAGAGATTCAACCTCAGTTACATTCAATCAGGTATCCCCAACAGCAACATTTTTGTCACCTGCGGTAATTCACCATTCTTATCAAAAAAACATGTCAGAAACATCAGGGCAATATCAATTTTAAATGTAAACAATAAAACAAACAAATATACAGGAAGCCTTCATTCAAAGCTAGGTCAAGCTGACGAGGACTCCACGCAGGGAGCTTGACTCGCAGCCATCATAAGTCTGGCTGGTTCACAGAAACCAGGTCGCACACACAGATGTGACTTATTTCCATACTGTTTTCCATTTGCTGGTTACAGACCACATTTATTTTAAGCTAAAGTTTGTCAGCAAGTGAAATGGACCTCTCAACTGTATCTGTGAAACAGCCAAACAACTTTGAATGTTCTGACTTTGGCCACAGAATGGGATCAGCACACATGTGTTCAGTGGTGCTGGCAAACCCTCACTTTCTAAATGGCTATTCATAAGTGCAAAATAATCTAATCTACCTTTCAGCATATTAATCAGCTCTGTGCCTTTTTTTTTTAATTTTTAAGTGAACTGTTGTTCTGTTGTCTTCTTTTTCTCTCCACACAAAACCCCATCTATGGTGGTGGCATGTTCACTGTTTACTCTGATCCCCTCATGATGATGATGCTGATAAAAGGTCTGCAACTGTCAGCAAACAGCCTTCAACATCCAATCACCTCTTTGACAAAGGTCCAGGCTCTGGGCAGTCCTGATGGTTTGTTCCTCCAGGGACCCAGTAAGGATGGCTGTTAGAAAGACACCAGAGTTCCTGGACTCAATCAAAACAGCAACGGCACTGGCACACTTACAGCACATGAGGTGCTCAGAACAGGAAGCTATGACACCAACTACAAACATTAACTGAGTGCCCTGGACAGTTTTTATTCTGCAGCTATTCCTTACACCTCCCTCCTTTGGTCTACTCCTCTAATTTCTATGCTACGCTGGGTACATGTAACGTTGATCTCCCCATGCCCCGACTATATACACACTATCTCACTTCTAATTGGTTCCTGAGCCTGTCACAAGGTTACAGGGGTGTTCCGCAATGCTGCTGATACTGTGTGTTGCATATTCCAGTACGCCAGCGCTTTTAACACTCCAAAAACATGGAAAAACTGGCCCTAACACAAATCCCCTAGAGAGTGCTGCATCGTATGTCACAGGCATTCTCTTTCTCTGAATAAAAAAGTAAATGCAAGACACAGCAGAAACCAAACAAGAGAGTGAGACAAACCTTCAGGAAAGTCGACCAGCCCAACAAACTTGTGAATAAAAAGTGACCTACTCTATTTGGGGAGATTAACTTTACTTTAACCCTACTCTGTTCCAGTTTCCTAACAAATTGTCACATTAGTTGCTGACAAGCAATATGCTGAGAATGTGCCTGTATATATATTTGACTACAACCACTAAACCACATGTGTGCTCATTCCATTCAGAATTATGAAGATCAGGTAACTCGGAGGTCTGCTGCCCAGCTGGGTGGTCTCCCCTCATAGTTCAAACGACCAACGTGGCAGGATGTTCCAGTGTCTGCTTGCTTGTCTGATGCTGGAGTGTCTGTCAAAAGAAGACAAAATATGTGGATGTAATACTGAGAGCATCATCATCATCAAAAGTCTTGCCAGCTGGCATCTGTGTCCAAACATCTCCAAATCTCCAAAAAAGAACACATTTGTGAGCATTTCCTCAGTGCAACATTAAAATAATTCCAGGAATCTTCTTGCACTGACTTCCTTTGTCTCACTTCATGAATCTCTCCAGTGGCCACAATATGTTCTAGTTTCTCTTTGTTTTCTGGATAACTCCAACTATATCTGTTTTGTTTTTAAAAAAACACTTATCTGGCATTGTCTCCCTCTGACCCTAATACTATCTTTCTGATGGTTGCAATCTTCTCCAGGCCTCTGATAAAAAAACAGCAACCATCTCATCCTTATATGGGTCAGGTCTCTGTGAGCTGTCCTCTTGCCATATCTGGATGCTGATTCTAATGTTTTATGCCATATGTAGAAACCTCTTCTCTGTGACCTCTAGTTTCTTACTACAAAATTTTTTTTTTTAATTCAATGTGTAGATTAAAAAGTGTACATATCATCAAATGCCTTGCAGACTAACATGGGCCCATCGTGCCACTAGGATGTGGAGATCTCCAATAACATTCATCAGGTCATGGAGCTGACAGCACTTCATGCCATGATAAAAGATGTCAAGAATATTCTCCTGTTCTCTTCAGCTATCCCACAGTTTCCAAAGATCATGACATGTCCCAGTTTCCCCTTTCTCAAAACATGACCAAAAACTGATGCCTGTCTCCCTGTTTGTGTTGTCCTCAGGCCCCACCTCTTTCAAAACTTCAGGGTTCTTCACTTTGGCTATGTAAGGAGTTCTAAGCATTTGTTCAGTACATCTGGCAGTAGACACCATCCCAACACAGAAAGCCAAGGTTGTGGCCAAGACTGTTGCCCTGTGCTGGGAGCAACTCCAATAACTTCACAGCTACAGACATGAGCTGTCAGCCAGGCTGCTCCTCAACAAATATTTCAGCAGCATTAGATAAACCACAGGTGCACACATCTACTGCAGGTGCACACACCTACCACAGGTAAACACATCTACCACAGGTGCACACACCTACCACGGGTAAACACATCTACCACAGGTGCACACACCTACCACAGGTACAGACACCTACCACACTTTAAACCTGTAGTTAATGCTTACCTGCCGAGCTATTTACAAACGACAGAGACTCAAATGCCTCCAGATCACAACCTTCACTGTATGGAGACTGTAACAGTTTGAGAACTCGCTCCACTTCACTGTAATCTCCACTTTCTGCTGTAGCTATTGCATTTTGAGCAATGTAGTTTCTCAGTATAAACCTGGATAGAAAAGAAACACATTAGATGGGTGAATGACAAATGGAAACAGACACACCTGAGGAGGAGTCAATGACTGTTAGAAACACAAACAAGGAGAGGAGTCAATGACTGTTAGAAACACAAACAAGGAGAGGAGTCAATGACTGTTAGAAACACAAACAAGGAGAGGAGTCAATGACTGTTAGAAACACAAACAAGGAGAGGAGTCAATGACTGTTAGAAACACAAACAAGGAGAGGAGTCAATGACTGTTAGAAACACAAACAAGGAGAGGAGTCAATGACTGTTAGAAACACAAACAAGGAGAGGAGTCAATAACTGCTGGAAACAAACAAGGAGAGGAGTCAATGACTGCTGGAAACAAACAAGGAGAGGAGTCAATAACTGCTGGAAACAAACAAGGAGAGGAGTCAATTACTGTTAGAAACACAAACAAGGAGAGGAGTCAATGACTGCTGGAAACAAACAAGGAGAGGAGTCAATGACTGCTGGAAACAAACAAGGAGAGGAGTCAATGACTGCTGGAAACAAACAAGGAGAGGAGTCAATAACTGCTGGAAACAGACAAGGAGAGGAGTCAATGACTGCTGGAAACAGACAAACAAGGAAAGGAGTCAATGACTGCTGGAAACAGACAAGGAGAGGAGTCAATGACTGCTGGAGACAGACAAGGAGAGGAGTCAATAACTGCTGGAAACAGACAAACAAGGAAAGGAGTCAATGACTGCTGGAAACAGACAAGGAGAGGAGTCATTGATGGCTGGAAACAGACAAACAAGGAAAGGAGTCATTGATGGCTGGAAACAGACAAACAAGGAGAGGAGTCAATAACTGCTGGAAACAGACAAGGAGAGGAGTCAATGACTGCTGGAAACAGACAAACAAGGAAAGGAGTCAATGACTGCTGGAAACAGACAAACAAGGAGAGGAGTCAATGACTGCTGGAAACAGACAAACAAGGAGAGAAGTCAATGACTGCTGGAGACAGACAAACAAGGAGAGGAGTCAATGACTGCTGGAAACAGACAAACAGGGAGAGAAGTCAATGACTGCTGGAGACAGACAAACAAGGAGAGGAGTCAATAACTGCTGGAAACAGACAAGGAGAGGAGTCAATAACTGCTGGAAACAGACAAACAAGGAGAGGAGTCAATGACTGCTGGAAACAGACAAACAAGGAGAGGAGTCAATGACTGCTGGAAACAGAAAAACAAGGAGAGGAGTCAATGACTGCTGGAAACAGACAAACAAGGAGAGAAGTCAATGACTGCTGGAGACAGACAAACAAGGAGAGGAGTCAATGACTTCCACAGCTAATTACAAACATCAGTAACCCATGTACACACAAGTTGAAACATTTGTTGTATCTGCTTGTAGACGACATGCTCCCTTACAAGATCAAAGTATTTTTAAAATATTGTGTATATTTCTGGATATGGTTTTGTGAACAGGTTTACAATGATTCACAAGAAGGCACTTATGCAGCAGCAATAGTGTAAGACATTATGTAGGTTAGAACTTGCCCATATTGCAGAGCAACAGTCTGGATGTGGGACATATATAATATCATTCTAACGTTCTCATCAAAAAAGATGTTAATGTCTTGGAATATATTTATTTAGCTGTCTGTTTGGCTAGTGCTTACATGTGAGAGTTGAAGGTAAGATCTATGTTTGGCTAGTGCTTACATGTGAGAGTTGAAGGTAAGATCTATGTTTGGCTAGTGCTTACATGTGAGAGTTGAAGGTAAGATCTATGTTTGTCTAGTGCTTACATGTGAGAGTTGAAGGTAAGATCTATGTTTGTCTAGTGCTTACATGTGAGAGTTGAAAGTAAGATCTATGTTTGTCTAGTGCTTGCATGTGAGAGTTGAAGGTAAGATCTATGTTTGTCTAGTGCTTACATGTGAGAGTTGAAAGTAAGATCTATGTTTGTCTAGTGCTTACATGTGAGAGTTGAAAGTAAGATCTATGTTTGTCTAGTGCTTGCATGTGAGAGTTGAAAGTAAGATCTATGTTTGGCTAGTGCTTACATGTGAGAGTTGGTTAGATTTATGTTTGTCTAGTGCTTACATGTGAGAGTTGAAGGTTAGATTTATGTTTGGCTAGTGCTTACATGTGAGAGTTGGTAAGATTTATGTTTGGCTAGTGCTTACATGTGAAAGTTGAAGGTAAGATCTATGTTTGGCTAGTGCTTACATGTGAGAGTTGGTAAGATTTATGTTTGGCTAGTGCTTACATGTGAAAGTTGAAGGTAAGATTTATGTTTGGCTAGTGCGTGCATGTGAGAGTTGAAGGTTAGATTTCTATCAACACGCAGGGCTCTGTGCTCATTTACACATTCCACTGGGACCTGTGGAGAAACAACAAGTGGGAGGATGAGACACAGAGAAGGATGCAGCAGCTAGAGAAGTGACAGCAATAACAGCAGCAGGAGACCACTGATCCAGGATTTGAACCACATAAACAGAATATTCTAGACCTGACTGTACTGGCAGGCAAGACAAGCAAGCTGCACTAACCTGGGATTGACTGAGTTCATAGTTCTGACTCTTTGCTCAGCAAGCTCCTCCACATTGTGCACTCCCTCTTCCTCCTTCTTCAACCTGTCCTCATACTTGTGCAGCCATGCAGTCCACTTCTTCCTATTGTTTCCATCAATCTCTTCGTGGTTTGCTGTCTGTGAAGAAATCAGTCACAGACAACAGTTACAAACAGGAGAAATGATTCTGTCACATCAGTCACAGACAACAGTTACAAACAGGAGAAATGATTCTGTCACATCAGCCACAGACATCAGTTACAAACAGGAGAAATGATTCTGTCACATCAGTCACAGACAACAGTTACAAACAGGAGAAATGATTCTGTCACATCAGCCACAGACAACAGCTCACACAAGTCTGCATCTTGAACATTTGTTTCTTTTCAGTGTAGACATGACGACATATAGCAGTGTAAAACAGTTGTAGACATGACAGATAGCAGTGTAAAACAGTTGTAAACATGATGACAGATAGCAGTGTAAAACAGTTGTAAACATGATGACAGATAGAAGTGTAAAACAGTTGAAGACATGATGACAGATAGCAGTGTAAAACAGTTGTAGACATGATGAGAGATAGCAGTGTAAAACATACATGACACAGATAGCAGTGTGTAAAACAGTTGACAGATACATGATGTAGAGATAGCAGTGTAAAACAGTTGTAGACATGACGAACAGTGTAAAACAGTTGTAGCATGAGACAGTAGCAAAACATTTGTAGACACATGACGAGCAGTGTAGCAGTGTAGACAAACAAAAGATAGCAGTGTAAACAGTTGTAGACGACGACAGATAGAAGTGTAAAACAGTTGTAGTCATGACAAAAGATAGAAGTGTAAAACAGTTGTAGACATGACAAAAGATAGAAGTGTAAAACAGTTGTAGACATGATGACAGATAGAAGTGTAAAACAGTTGTAGACATGTCGACAGATAGAAATGTAAAACAGTTGTAGACATGACAAAAGATAGCAGTGTAAAACAGTTGTAGACATGACGACAGATAGCAGTGTAAAACAGTTGTAGACATGATGACAGATAGCAGTGTAAAACAGTTGTAGACATGACGACAGATAGAAGTGTAAAACAGTTGTAGACATGATGACAGATAGCAGTGTAAAACAGTTGTAGACATGACGACAGATAGAAGTGTAAAACAGTTGTAGACATGTCGACAGATAGAAGTGTAAAACAGTTGTAGTCATGACAAAAGATAGAAGTGTAAAACAGTTGTAGACATGACAAAAGATAGAAGTGTAAAACAGTTGTAGACATGACGACAGATAGAAGTGTAAAACAGTTGTAGACATGTCGACAGATAGAAATGTAAAACAGTTGTAGACATGACAAAAGATAGCAGTGTAAAACAGTTGTAGACATGACGACAGATAGCAGTGTAAAACAGTTGTAGACATGATGACAGATAGCAGTGTAAAACAGTTGTAGACATGACGACAGATAGAAGTGTAAAACAGTTGTAGACATGATGACAGATAGCAGTGTAAAACAGTTGTAGACATGATGACAGATAGCAGTGTAAAACAGTTGTAGACATGACGACAGATAGAAGTGTAAAACAATTGTAGACATGTCGACAGATAGAAATGTAAAACAGTTGTAGACATGACAAAAGATAGCAGTGTAAAACAGTTGTAGACATGACGACAGATAGAAGTGTAAAACAGTTGTAGACAGGACGACAGATAGAAGTGTAAAACAGTTGTAGACATGACGACAGATATAAGTGTAAAACAGTTGTAGACATGACGACAGATAGAAGTGTAAAACAGTTGTAGACATGACGACAGATAGAAGTGTAAAACAGTTGTAGACATGATGACAGATAGCAGTGTAAAACAGTTGTAGACATGATGACAGATAGCAGTGTAAAACAGTTGTAGACATGATGACAGATAGCAGTGTAAAACAGTTGTAGACATGACGACAGATAGAAGTGTAAAACAGTTGTAGACATGACGACAGATAGCAGTGTAAAACAGTTGTAGACATGATGACAGATAGCAGTGTAAAACAGTTGTAGACATGACGACAGATAGAAGTGTAAAACAGTTGTAGACATGATGACAGATAGCAGTGTAAAACAGTTGTAGACATGACGACAGATAGAAGTGTAAAACAGTTGTAGACATGACGACAGATAGAAGTGTAAAACAGTTGTAGACATGATGACAGATAGCAGTGTAAAACAGTTGTAGACATGACGACAGATAGAAGTGTAAAACAGTTGTAGACATGACGACAGATAGAAGTGTAAAACAGTTGTAGACATGATGACAGATAGCAGTGTAAAACAGTTGTAGACATGACGACAGATAGAAGTGTAAAACAGTTGTAGACATGATGACAGATAGCAGTGTAAAACAGTTGTAGACATGACGACAGATAGAAGTGTAAAACAGTTGTAGACATGACGACAGATAGAAGTGTAAAACAGTTGTAGACATGATGACAGATAGAAGTGTAAAACAGTTGTAGACATGACGACAGATAGAAGTGTAAAACAGTTGTAGACATGACGACAGATAGAAGTGTAAAACAGTTGTAGACATGATGACAGATAGAAGTGTAAAACAGTTGTAGACATGACGACAGATAGAAGTGTAAAACAGTTGTAGACATGACGACAGATAGAAGTGTAAAACAGTTGTAGACATGACGACAGATAGAAGTGTAAAACAGTTGTTGACATGACGACAGATAGCAGTGTAAAACAGTTGTAGACATGACGACAGATATGTTAGTTAGTCTGCACTGCCTGTTGTAAAGCTGGTGTTGCTTTCACTTCTCCATCTTAGAATGATACCTACTTAACCTTTGACCCTCTGGATGCTTTAAAAAAAAAATGGGTCATAAAGTTGTATGAATTTCTTGACAAAATCCTTTAAAATGTAACCATATTTCATAGGTCAATAATACAGAATTGTAAAAATAAATGAAGGATCACTGGAACTATATATAAAACAACAATAAAAATATTTTAAAAAGCAAGAAAGTAAAATAAAAAGAAAAAAAAATACCTCAAGATCCTGAAGTTTTGCCATCCTCTCAATCTCTCTCTCCAAAAGCTGACTGCTGCGACCAAGAGCAGACAGAAGGCTGGGGTTTGTCTGTGCCACCATCATAAACATTGCCAGTTGCCTGTATGGGTAGGAAGCATTAATACAGGATCTACACGTAAACATTCATCTGGAGACGAGAAAGGTCATCATTCTTTGTTCCAAGACCACATCTGCCTCTGAAACTGATATACAAACTGAAAGTGGTACCAGAGTCCAGACACTTGGGTTCTACAGACACCTGGGTTCTACAGACACTTGGGTTCTACAGACACTTGGGTTCTACAGACACTTGGGTTCTACAGACACTTGGGTTCTACAGACACTTGGCTTCTACAGACACTTGGGTTCTACAGACACTTGGGTTCTACAGACACTTGGCTTCTACAGACACTTGGGTTCTACAGACACTTGGGTTCTACAGACACTTGGGTTCTACAGACACTTGGCTTCTACAGACACTTGGGTTCTACAGACACTTGGCTTCTACAGACACTTGGGTTCTACAGACACTTGGGTTCTACAGAAACCTGGGTTCTACAGACACTTGGGTTCTACAGACACTTGGGTTCTACAGACACTTGGGTTCTACAGACACTTGGGTTCTACAGACACTTAGGTTCTACAGATACTTGTGTTCTACGGACACTTGGGTTCTACAGACACTTGGGTTCTACAGACACTTGGGTTCTACAGACACTTGGGTTCTACAGACACTTGGGTTCTACAGAAACCTGGGTTCTACAGACACTTGGATTCTACAGACACTTGGCTTCTACAGACACTTGGGTTCTACAGACACTTGGATTCTACAGACATTTGGATTCTACAGACACTTGGATTCTACAGACACTTGGATTCTACAGACACTTGGATTCTACAGACACTTGGGTTCTACAGACACTTGGCTTCTACAGACACTTGGGTTCTACAGACACTTGGATTCTACAGACACTTGGATTCTACAGACATTTGGATTCTACAGAAACCTGGGTTCTACAGACACTTGGATTCTACAGAAACCTGGGTTCTACAGACACTTGGATTCTACAGACACTTGGGTTCTACAGAAACCTGGGTTCTACAGACACTTGGATTCTACAGACACCTGGGTTCTACAGACACTTGGATTCTACAGACACTTGGGTTCTACAGACACTTGGGTTCTACAGACACTTGGGTTCTACAGACACTTGGGTTCTACAGACACTTGGGTTCTACAGACACTTGGCTTCTACAGACACTTGGCTTCTACAGACACTTGGGTTCTACAGACACTTGGCTTCTACAGACACCTGGGTTCTACAGACACTTGGCTTCTACAGACACTTGGCTTCTACAGACACTTGGCTTCTACAGACACTTGGGTTCTACAGACACTTGGGTTCTACAGACACCTGGGTTCTACAGACACTTGGCTTCTACAGACACTTGGGTTCTACAGACACTTGGCTTCTACAGACACTTGGGTTCTACAGACACTTGGGTTCTACAGACACTTGGGTTCTACAGACACTTGGGTTCTACAGACACTTGGGTTCTACAGACACTTGGGTTCTACAGACACTTGGGTTCTACAGACACTTGGGTTCTACAGACACCTGGGTTCTACAGACACTTGGCTTCTACAGACACTTGGGTTCTACAGACACCTGGGTTCTACAGACACTTGGCTTCTACAGACACTTGGGTTCTACAGACACCTGGGTTCTACAGACACTTGGCTTCTACAGACACTTGGGTTCTACAGACACTTGGATTCTACAGACACCTGGGTTCTACAGACACTTGGCTTCTACAGACACTTGGGTTCTACAGAAACCTGGGTTCTACAGACACTTGGCTTCTACAGACACTTGGGTTCTACAGAAACCTGGGTTCTACAGACACTTGGGTTCTACAGACACTTGGGTTCTACAGACACTTGGGTTCTACAGACACTTGGGTTCTACAGACACTTAGGTTCTACAGATACTTGTGTTCTACGGACACTTGGGTTCTACAGACACTTGGGTTCTACAGACACTTGGGTTCTACAGACAGTTGGGTTCTACAGACACTTGGGTTCTACAGACACTTGGGTTCTACAGAAACTTGGGTTCTACAGACACTTGGGTTCTACAGACACTTGGGTTCTAATGTCAGTGAGTGGCACACCCCTGGAGGCAGACATCTGCAAAACCATTTTCACATACCTCTTCAAACTTGTATGTTCGGACACAGCAGTGTTCGCACCATGCTAACATCAGACACATAATAAGAGCACATCCCCGTGTGGGTTCCAGGGTCCCATTGTGGGGGGAAACAAGAATGGACCCACTGCCTCCCCAACAAGCATGTGTGAGAACTGACTAACTGGGGGCTTCCTTTGAAGTCGGGGTGCATCTTCCTGAGAGGCAAGGAACCAACAGTCTATACACACAAATAAGTCAGATCTGTAAAATGGATGTGCAGGCAACACTCAGGTTCTGGAACAAGTCCAAGGGTGGATGAACAACCAGAATTTTCCCCAGGAGTTTACAGCTGGTAGAAGATAATATGAGCACAAGATAGCCAGTAGTGTAAATAACCAATATATCAGATTCTTGTTCTCACCACGACTAGTTTCATATTTGGATACAGAATTTCATAATTGTCTGGGGCAGACAGCAAGCTACTGTTTCCTACTGTTGCATCAGATATGCTACTGAAGTGATGTTGTTTATGGTTTCCTACTGTTGCATCAGATATTCAACTGAAGTGATGTTGTTTATGGTTTCCTACTGTTGCATCAGATATTCTACTGAAGTGATGTTGTTTATGGTTTCCTACTGTTGCATCAGATATTCTACTGAAGTGATGTTGTTTATGGTTTCCTACTGTTGCATCAGATATTCTACTGAAGTGATGTTGTTTATGGTTTCCTACTGTTGCATCAGATATTCTACTGAAGTGATGTTGTTTATGGTTTCCTACTGTTGCATCAGATATTCAACTGAAGTGATGTTGTTTATGGTTTCCTACTGTTGCATCAGATATTCTACTGAAGTGATGTTGTTTATGGTTTCCTACTGTTGCATCAGATATTCTACTGAAGTGATGTTGTTTATGGTTTCCTACTGTTGCATCAGATATTCTACTGAAGTGATGTTGTTTATGGTTTCCTACTGTTGCATCAGATATTCTACTGAAGTGATGTTGTTTATGGTTTCCTACTGTTGCATCAGATATTCTACTGAAGTGATGTTGTTTATGGTTTCCTACTGTTGCATCAGATATTCTACTGAAGTGATGTTGTTTATGGTTTCCTACTGTTGCATCAGATATTCTACTGAAGTGATGTTGTTTATGGTTTCCTACTGTTGCATCAGATATTCTACTGAGGTGATGTTGTTTATGGTTTCCTACTGTTGCATCAGATATTCTACTAAAGTGATGTTGTTTATGGTTTCCTACTGTTGCATCAGATATTCTACTGAAGTGATGTTGTTTATGGTTTCCTACTGTTGAAAGCTTTCCCTAAACATCTGACCCTGTCTTCCCGTTTCATCTACCCAGTTTTTTACCCATATTGCTTCTTTGACAACATCTACAAGCCAGAAAGACATAAGCAGATCAAGATCTTTATAATACAGAACGTGAACGTAGAGCACATTATCACCAGATGGGCCTCAGTGATTCTGCTACCTTCAGCTGTGCAAAAAACAGCAAACAGCTGAGTACTTCCTCATAAACTGACCCACAGCCCCAGCGAAGATGTTAGGTGTCTTGTTCTTTTCCACACACATCTGATACAGATGCACAGCTATAGCAGAACCATCAAAAACAGACTAAGAATTAAAGAAGTGAAGACTTCACATAGTTGTCTGAGTTCACTTGAGAGTGTACAGGCCGGTACGTACCTTCTATCCATGCGAGGTTGATTGGCCTTCACTAACTCTTCCACAGAAGAGCTCTGAGACTGCAGATAAGTGAGAACTTTCAACCTTTCCTCTGTAAAGTTGTCAGTGCTAGGAAGAGGTAGCTTGCTGAGTTGTCGGAAACAGTTGGTGAAATCTGCACCAGTCTCTTGCAGTGTGTTCAGGAAGCCCTCAACAAGACTTCTGTCACAACAAAACACAGACATGTTTAGTTGTTGCTGTCTCAACAAGACTTCTGTCACAACAAAACACAGACATGTCTAGTTGTCGCTGTCTCAACAAGTCTTCTGTCACAACAAAACACAGACATGTTTAGTTGTTGCTGTCTCAACAAGACTTCTGTCACAACAAAACACAGACATGTCTAGTTGTCGCTGTCTCAACAAGTCTTCTGTCACAACAAAACACAGACATGTTTAGTTGTTGCTGTCTCAACAAAACTTATGTCACAACAAAATACAGACATGTTTAGTTGTTGCTGTCTCAAAAAGACTTATGACACAACAAAATACAGACATGTCTAGTTGTTGCTGTCTCAACAAGACTTCTGTCACAACAAAATACAGACATGTCTAGTTGTTGCTGTCTCAACAAGACGTCTGTCACAATAAAATACAGACATGTCTAGTTTTTGCTGTTTAATCTGCAAGGGATACATATCTTAATGGCCTTGTAAGATATTTTGAGTTGTAATAGTGTTCCCTTTTTTTTAGTGTTTTCACTAATTTATAATCATTTACCACCATCACTATCATAAAACTCTATTAAATAATAGTCCTACACCCGCAGGCGTATTGGGCTAGATCTATATTTTACAGACCAACTGGCACTCGGTGGGTGACGTGGCCAACATCGCACCGGCTGCCTCCCGGTATCCATTTAAGGCTGGGTCAACCTGGCAGCCAAGTTCAATTCTGAACAAGACTGGCTCCATCAGGACCAAAACCCATGACCTTCTGAGTGTCTAACTGCTACACTATGTCTGAGTGTCTAACTGCTACACCATGTCTGAGTGTCTAACTGCTACACCATGACCTTCTGAGTGTCTGACTGCTACACCATGACTGTCTGAGTGTCTAACTGCTACACCATGACTGTCTGAGTGTCTAACTGCTACACCATAAATGTCTGAGTGTCTAACTGCTACACCATGACTGTCTGAGTGTCTAACTGCTACACCATGACTGTCTGAGTGTCTAACTGCTACACCATGACTGTCTGAGTGTCTAACTGCTACACCATGACTGACTAAGTGTCTAACTGCTACATCATGTCTGAGTGTCTAACTGCTACACCATGACTGTCTGAGTGTCTAACTGCTACACCATGACTGTCTGAGTGTCTAACTGCTACACCATGACTGTCTGAGTGTCTAACTGCTACACCATGACTGTTTGAGTGTCTAACTGCTACACCATGACTGTCTGAGTGTCTAACTGCTACACCATGACTGTCTGAGTGTCTAACTGCTACACCATGACTGTCTGAGTGTCTAACTGCTACACCATGACTGTCTGAGTGTCTAACTGCTACACCATGACTGTCTGAGTGTCTAACTGCTACACCATGACTGTCTGAGTGTCTAACTGCTACACCATGACCATCTGAGTGTCTAACTGCTACACCATGACTGTCTGAGTGTCTAACTGCTACACCATGACTGTCTGAGTGTCTGACTGCTACACCATGACCTTCTGAGTGTCTGACTGCTACACCATAACTGTCTGAGTGTCTAACTGCCACACCATAACTGTCTGAGTGTCTAACTGCTACACCATGACTGTCTGAGTGTCTAACTGCTACACCATGACCGTCTGAGTGTCTAACTGCTACACCATGACTGTCTGAGTGTCTGACTGCTACACCATGATTGTCTGAGTGTCTAACTGCTACACTATGACCTTCTGAGTGTCTAACTGCTACACCATGACTGTCTGAGTGTCTAACTGCTACACCATGACCGTCTGAGTGTCTAACTGCTACACCATGACCGTCTGAGTGTCTAACTGCTACACCATGACCGTCTGAGTGTCTAACTGCTACACCATGACTGTCTGAGTGTCTAACTGCTACACCATGACTGTCTGAGTGTCTAACTGCTACACCATGACTGTCTGAGTGTCTAACTGCTACACCATGACTGTCTAACTGCTACACCATGACTGTCTGACTGCTACACCATAACTGTCTGAGTGTCTTACTGCTACACCATGACTGTCTGAGTGTCTGACTGCTACACCATGACCGTCTGAGTGTCTAACTGCTACACCATGACCGTCTGAGTGTCTAACTGCTACACCATAACTGTCTGAGTGTCTAACTGCTACACCATAACTGTCTAAGTGTCTAACTGCTACACCATAAATGTCTGAGTGTCTAACTGCTACACCATGACTGTCTGAGTGTCTAACTGCTACACCATGACTGTCTGAGTGTCTAACTGCTACACCATAACCGTCTGAGTGTCTAACTGCTACACCATGACTGTCTGAGTGTCTAACTGCTACACCATAACCGTCTGAGTGTCTAACTGCTACACCATGACTGTCTGAGTGTCTAACTGCTACACCATGACCGTCTGAGTGTCTAACTGCTACACCATAACCGTCTGAGTGTCTAACTGCTACACCATGACCGTCTGAGTGTCTAACTGCTACACCATGACCATCTGAGTGTCTGACTGCTACACCATGACCATCTGAGTGTCTGACTGCTACACCATGACCGTCTGAGTGTCTAACTGCTACACCATAAATGTCTGAGTGTCTAACTGCTACACCATGACTGTCTGAGTGTCTAACTGCTACACCATGACTGTCTGACTGCTACACCATGACTGTCTGAGTGTCTAACTGCTACACCATGACTGTCTGACTGCTACACCATAAATGTCTGAGTGTCTAACTGCTACACCATGACTGTCTGACTGCTACACCATAAATGTCTGAGTGTCTAACTGCTACACCATGACTGTCTGACTGCTACACCATAAATGTCTGAGTGTCTAACTGCTACACCATGACTGTCTGAGTGTCTAACTGCTACACCATGACTGTCTGACTGCTACACCATGACCATCTGAGTGTCTGACTGCTACACCATGACCGTCTGAGTGTCTAACTGCTACACCATGACTGTCTGAGTGTCTAACTGCTACACCATGACCGTCTGAGTGTCTAACTGCTACACCATGACTGTCTGAGTGTCTAACTGCTACACCATGACCGTCTGAGTGTCTAACTGCTACACCATGACTGTCTGAGTGTCTAACTGCTACACCATGACTGTCTGAGTGTCTAACTGCTACACCATGACTGTCTGAGTGTCTAACTGCTACACCATGACCGTCTGAGTGTCTAACTGCTACACCATGACCGTCTGAGTGTCTAACTGCTACACCATGACGGTCTGAGTGTCTAACTGCTACACCATGACCGTCTGAGTGTCTAACTGCTACACCATAAATGTCTGAGTGTCTAACTGCTACACCATGACTGTCTGAGTGTCTGACTGCTACACCATGACCATCTGAGTGTCTAACTGCTACACCATGACTGTCTGAGTGTCTAACTGCTACACCATGACCGTCTGAGTGTCTAACTGCTACACCATGACTGTCTGAGTGTCTAACTGCTACACCATGACTGTCTGAGTGTCTAACTGCTACACCATGACTGTCTGAGTGTCTAACTGCTACACCATGACCGTCTGAGTGTCTAACTGCTACACCATGACTGTCTGAGTGTCTAACTGCTACACCATGACCGTCTGAGTGTCTAACTGCTACACCATGACCGTCTGAGTGTCTAACTGCTACACCATGACTGTCTGAGTGTCTAACTGCTACACCATAACCGTCTGAGTGTCTAACTGCTACACCATGACCGTCTGAGTGTCTAACTGCTACACCACTACAGCTTCCCTAGAGAGTTACAATCACAAGAAAAAAGTCCTTACCCATCGTCAGCGAGTTCCTTCTGCAGCCCAAACTGTAAACAGAAACAGTATCAGCATCACAAGGTTGTATTGACTCAACAGTCACT